CCTCCTCCTCCTGCTCCTCCTCCTCCCACTCCAGCTCCCGCTCCTCCTCCCGACCCGCGCGGCGGCGGGGCCGCCTTCCATCTGCACCGACGCCACCCAGGCACGCAGCCCCCCGGCACGCCGCACCTGCGCAGGCCAGTGCGCGCGCCCACCGCGGCGGCGCGGCGCCACCACTGCTCCACGACGACGATGGCTGCAACGACCAACGACGACGACGACGACGGCGACGACGACGACGACGGTGGCGACGACGACGACGACGGCGACGACGACGGCGACGACGACGACGACGGCGACGACGACGAGGGCGACGACGTCGACGACAACGTAAACGACGGCCATGGCGACGGCCACGCAGACACAGACGACAACAACGGCCAGAACGAGTATGACGACGCGGCCACCGCATGCGGCGATGCCGCCCCGCGCCACGACGACGACTGCGACGGCGTCGATGTCGACGTCGATCTGGCATGTATTTGCCCCCCCCCCCCCCCCCCCCGAACCTACGGCAACCCAACACTCCAACCGCATGTACGTGGGGGGCGTGCGGAACCGACGAAGGCCCAGGCCACACGTAATCTGATGAGCCGCCAGGTTGCCAACAGACGGCCCCGCCCCGGGTAAGTCCTACTGGCTAGAACTGCCCGGGGTGCTGCCTGCGCGCAGCCCGACGCCTCCCCGCCGCCCGCGATGCGCGACGCACACATCGCCTGCGCGACCCGCCCGCCGCCGCCCCAGAGCACATGGTGCGTCGACGCCCACAGCATGCCGGCGTGCTTCGGCGGCCGGAGCCGCCGCTCGATGAGGAGGAGGAGGAGGAGGTGGAGGAGGAGGAGGAGGAGAGGAGGAGAGGAGGAGGAGGAGGAGGAGGGGGAGGAGGAGAGGAGGAGCAGGAGGGGGGGATAGAGGGAGGAGGAGGAGGAGGAGGGAGGAGGAGGAGGAGGAGGGACGAGGAAGGGGAGAGGAGGAGGAGGAGTAGGAGGAGGAGTAGGAGGACGGGGGAGGAGGGGGAGGAGGGGGAGGAGGAGGAGGAGGAGGAGGAGGAGGAGGAGGAGGAGGAGGAGGAGGAGGAGAAGGGGGAGGAGGAGAACGTGGTGCGTCGACGCCCCGAGCCAGGAGGCGCGTGGCGCGACTTCTCTCATCGCTCCCCGTGGGGGACGTGGGAGGGCCCTGCCCGTCGTCGTCGTCGTCGTCGTCGTCGTCGGCGGCGTCGGCATCAAGCGTCGAGCGTCGGCATCGAGCGTCGGCCGCGGCGTCGGCGTCGGCATCGGCGTCGGCCTCGGCGACGGCGTCGGCGTCGGCGTCGTCGCCACCATCAGGGGATTGCAGTGCGTGCCTCGCCATCGCTCGGACGTCGATTCCTCGTGTATTTTTCGATTTCGTGCGTGCTTTTTTTCGCCAACTGATCAAGGGTGGCCGTCGCCGAGACAAAATGCACACGTCCGAGCGATGCCAAGGGGCTGTACCGGACGACGGCTACATTGACACGGCAGCGCAGTCTGGGGGCAGCAGATCAAACACGAACGTCACGCCGCCGCGGGGAAGCCATCGGAGTGCTAATTGCCGACGGGGGAGGAGGAGGAGGAGGAGGAGGAGGAGGAGGAGGAGGAGGAGGAGGAGGAGGAGGAGGAGGAGGCGGAAGCGGAGGCGGAGGCGGAGGCGGAGGCGGAGGAGGGGGAGGGGGAGGAGGAGGAGGAGGAGGAGGAGGAGGAGACGAAGAGGAGGAGAGGAGGACGGAGGAGGAGGAGGGGGAGGGGAGGAGGAGGAGGAGGAGGAGGAGAGGAGGAGAGGAGGAGGACGAGAGGAGGGGAGGAGCGGAGGAGGAGGAGGGAAGGGAGAGGCAGGAGGAGGAGGAGGAGGGAGGAGGAGGGGAGAAGGAGGAGTGGATGGGAGGAGGAAGGGACGGGGCAGGAGGGAGAGGAGGAGGAGAGGAGGAGGAGGAGGAGGAGGGAGGAGGAGGAGGCGGAGGATGAAGGACGGGGGAGGGAGATTTTTTGAAGGACGGGTGGGGAGGAGAAGGACGGGGGGGGAGGAGGAGGAGGAGGAGGAGGAGGAGGAGGAGGAGGAGGAGGAGGAGGAGGAGGAGGAGGAGGAGGAGGAGGAGAGTAATGTGGAAAACAACGAAGGAGTAACCCGCTGACGGGTTTGGCGGCGGCGAGCCATTGATCTCAGACCTAGGAGTGAGCCGAGCGGTCGGCCATTGTCCATACCTGCGCGGCACAATCGGCACCCCGTCCAGCGGATTCTGCTTGTGTTGTCGCGTTGACCCTTGTTAATTCAAGCTTCGTGCGGCCCGCTTAGCTTCGACCAGAAGAGGTGCGCTCTCGACCCGCGAATCAAATTGTATTGTCGCGTTGTCGTCGTCCTCGCCCGCGCCCGCCCGCGGGGCATCCGCGACAAGGCCCGCGACCCACCCCGCGACCCCCCGGCGGCCCCCCCGCGACCCCCCCCGCGCCCCCCCCCCCCCCTCCATCTGCTCCGCAACTGCGGTATGCCACGGTACGGCAGGTTCGTGTTGTGCCGACTTCGGGTTTCTGACACCGCGGGGATCGTACAACATCGAACGATCGGCAATCTCCGAAACGTCCAGAACGATCGGCAATCTCTCGAAACGTCCGAAACGTCCGAAACGTCTGATTCGGGGCTGCTAGCCGCGTTCCACGTGAAAGCTGGCGGCGACCCAAGACTTGCCGTGCTCCCCCTACGCACCCACGACGCTGCAATTTGCCCACAACAGTCGACCCCCCGAAGTCTGGACTTATGTCGGACGTGTCCCCCTACAGGGGGATTAATACACCAAAAATGATCCAAAAATAATCCAAAAATAGTCTGGGGACTAGTTTTTGAGTATGGTTTTGTTTGGGCATTTTTGGGGTATTTTATGTTTTTCGTCGAGAATCCCGCTGTAGGGGGACAGGACCGGCCTAAGTCTGGACCCCTTCCCCTTGGACGGGTTTTTCCTCCGTAGATCTGTTGACGGTCCCGAGGCCCCGGCAGGTGCCCCCAGAAGCCGACAACAGCGACAGACCTCCCGTCGTGATTCTTTCACGACGCGAGGGGCTCACTCCTAGGTCTGAGATCAATGGCTCGCCGCCGCCAAACCCGTCAGCGGGTTACTCATTCGTTGTTTTCCACATTACTCTCCTCCTCCTCCATCTCCTCCTCCTCCTCCTCCTCCTCCTCCTCCTCCTCCTCCTCCTCCTCCCCCGTCCTTCCTCCTCCTCCTCCTCCTCCTCCTCCTCCTCCTCCTCCTCCTCCTTCTCCCCCGTCCTTCTCCTCCTCCTCCTTCTCCTCCTCCTCCTCCTCCTCTCCCTCTCCTCCTCCTCCTCCTCCTCCTCCTCCTCCTCCTCCTCCTCCTCATCACCCCTCCCTCCTCCTCCTCCTCTTCCTCCTCTTCCTCCTCATCCTCCTCCCCCTCCTGGTCCTCCTCCTCCCTTCCTGCGTCTCGTGCCTGGGGGAAGCCGAGAAGGTACCGACACCGACACCGCCACTCCCAGGTTCTCTCCCAGGGTGCGTTCTGACCGGGATTGTGAGGCGAATATCCAGCGAGGGAGCGGTAGCTGCGTGGATCGCCGCGGTGGTCGCTGCGGGGATGGGGGGATCAGAAGTGGATGCTGAAGTGGGTTTTATCTGGCATAACCAAATTAAGTGGGTTCAAAAACCCGATTTGGCTTAGGATGATAGGGGTAAATCCGCTAGGTGGGCTCCGCCCACTTAGCCCACTTAGCCCACATCTGTAAGCTTTTAAACCACTTTGGGCACGCGCAGCCCACTTCTGAGCTGGGATGGGCCGGATAGAATCCATCTCAGCATCCACTTGTTTCCCCCTATCCTCTTAGGAACCCCCGCGGAGCTTCAACTGGCATCATTTCCGTACCAGTTTCCATCGCTAGAATAACAGAGCGCCATAAACATGAACATTTGGCGCTCCGCGCGGGTTTATTGGATCTGCGCTGGACCCCCACCCACCCTGGCGCGCGGAGCGCGCCAGGGGCGGCGCTGGAGGCGCCGCCCAGGAGGCCCAGCGCGGATCCAAGAAAGCAATCATCGCGGAGCGCCAACAGTCGGGAGCGGCCAAGAGGGGGGTGTCCAAGAGGGGGGGTACACATCATGGCCGGCGGCACGTGCGCGGCCCAGGTTGTGAGCCAGGGACGTCATGGAATAAGAAGAGGCGCCATGAAATCTGGGGAAACATCAAGCCCCCCGCCATGATATCCACCCCCCCTTGCCATCACCCCCCTCTTTTCCGCCCCCGAGACAATTTACCGATGGCCTGCCGGCCGGGCCGCCCGGCCCGCCCCCCACCTAGAGGCCTCCTCGGTCGGAGTAGATGGGGTCGAAGGATCGCGCCGCATCGGCGATACATCGGCGATGCATCGGCCATGCATCGGCGATGCATCGGCGATGCAGTGGCGATGCATCCGCGACGTCGGCGACTCATCGGCGACGTCCGCGTGAAGCAAGTCGAGCTCCGCATCGAGCCGCATCGGCGATGCATCGGCGATGCGGCGCAATCCTCCGACCCCATCCACTCGGACCCCATCTAGGAGGCCTAGACCACCCCGGGCGGGGCCTCGGCGCCGCACCGGTCCAGCTCTGCGGCCGCCACCTGCCGCCGCGCGCGCTCCGCGGGGGCGGGTGCCGAGGGCAGGGGGCTCGGCGGGAGCCGAGAGGGGGGCCGCCCCGGTGGGGCCCGATGCAGCCGGCCCGCATCGGAGGATGCACTCGCCATCGCTCGGACGTCCATTCCCTGTGTATTTTTCGATGTCGTGCGTGTTTTTTTCCCAACCATCCTGTGGTGTTGGGTCCTCGTTTCGAAGAGACAGCGCCCCGCGTCCACTCCTCCCGCTGCCCCTCCCCCTCCTCCTTGCGTTTCACCCACCCAGCACAGCGTTTCGTAGCCCCATAGGGAGCTCCACCGAAGGCCCCAGTGGCAGGGTTCGCATGGCGGCCTCGGGCCATCTCGGCACACCCCTCACGAGGATCGTGGCCCCATAGGGAGCTCCACCGAAGGCTCCAGTGGCAGGGTTCGCATGGCGGCCTCGGGCCATTTCGGCACACCCCTCACGAGGATCGTGGCCCCATAGGGAGCTCCACCGAAGGCGCCAGTGGCAGGGTTCGCATGGCGGCCTCGGGCCATTTCGGCACACCCCTCACGACGATCGTAGACCCATAAGGGAGCTCCACCGAAGGCGCCACTCGCAGGGTTCGCATGGCGGCCTCGGGCCATTTCGGCACACCCCTCACGAGGATCGTGGCCCCATAGGGAGCTCCACCGAAGGCGCCAGTGAGAGGGTTTGCATGGCGGCCTCGGGCCATTTCGGCACACCCCTCACGACGATCGTGGACCCATAAAGGGAGCTCCACCGAAGGCGCCAGTGGCAGGGTTCGCATGGCGGCCTCGGGCCATTTCGGCACACCCCTCACGAGGATCGTGGCCCCATAGGGAGCTCCACCGAAGGCCCTAGTGGCAGGGTTCGCATGGCGGCCTCGGGCCATTTCGGCACACCCCTCACGAGGATCGTGGCCCCATAGGGAGCTCCACCGAGGCAGGGTTCGCATGGCGGCCTCGGGCCATTTCGGCACACCCCTCACGAGGATCGTGGCCCCATAGGGAGCTCCACCGAAGGCGCCAGTGGCAGGGTTCGCATGGCGGCCTCGGGCCATTTCGGCACACCCCTCACGACGATCGTAGACCCATAGGGAGCTCCACTGAAGGCGCCAGTGGCAGGGGTCGCATGGCGGCCTCGGGCCATTTCGGCACACCCCTCACGAGGATCGTGGCCCCATAGGGAGCTCCACCGAAGGCGCCAGTGGCAGGGTTCGCATGGCGGCCTCGGGCCATTTCGGCACACCCCTCACGAGGATCGTGGCCCCATAGGGAGCTCCACCGAAGGCGCCAGTGGCAGGGTTCGCATGGCGGCCTCGGGCCATTTCGGCACACCCCTCACGAGGACCGTGGCCCCACTGGAGCTCCACCGAAGGCGCCAGTGGCAGGGTTCGCATGGCGGCCCCGGGCCATTTCGGCACACCCCTCACGAGGATCGTGGCCCCATAGTTGTGCTGCTTCAACAACCGCGCCTGGGCGTCGTACTCCGCCTTGTCGACGTGCAACGCCACCTCCTCCCTCATGGCTCTCAAGGCCCTTTCCTGCTTCTGCTCCTCGGTGAGAGGGACGCCGTCCTTGTCGTCGTCGGCGCCCGCGAAGACGACCACGAACGTGCCCCTGAGCATGTCGGGCTCCGGCGGGAAGCCGTGGCCACATAGGGAGCGCGGGCGAAGATGGCATTCACAATTGCGGTATTCATAATTGCATATGGTTGGGTCTTTCGCCCGGATAATAATTTTCCTCGCCAAATGATCAAGGATGCTCCTCGATGGTGCTCGCCAAAGGAAAACATGCAGACGTCCGAGCGAGGCCAGGTGCACGATGAGGATGCCAGGGCGTTGGAAGGCCACGTCGGCTTCTTACAAGCGGGGCGCGGCCAGCGAAAGCGGCCAAGGAGGGGCCGAAGGAGCAAGGATGCAAGGGGTACCCTTGGGAAGGTTGCCCATCCTTACCATGTGAGTGTATATGTATATATATATATATACACATATATAGACACATCTATAGATGTATACACGTATAGCTCGACATACGGGAGCGTGAAACGTGCATTGTTCTGAGAGTGCGCCAGTCGGACGAGGAGTTACGGTCGGTTTGGTGAAAGCCGACCTTAGCCACGATATTGGCGGGTGAGCGGCACATAGTCGCAAATGGCGGCAAATACAAACAACTCGTATAACAAGTGGCGCGCGTGCCATGGCTCTTGCACAAAACAGAGGGGGAAGGAGGAAGGAGGAAGAGGAGGAGGAGGAGGAGGAGGAGGAGGAGGAGGAGGAGGAGGAGGAGTAGGAGGAAGAGGAGGAGGAAGAAGAAGAGGAGAAGGATGAGGAGGAAAGGGGGGGAGAGAGGGGAGGAGAAATCGGAAAAGTCTCGGGGGGCGGGACGGCGGGAGCGGTGCGACGCAGAAATCAAATGGTCGGAGCGGAGGGGGTGGGCGGGGTGCACTGGGCGGGCAGGGAGGGGAGAACGATCGTGGAGGCGGGACGGTGGGGGCCGTGCGATGCGGAAGAAAACTTTCGTGGCGGAGGGGGCTGTGGGCGGGGCTCCTACTGGAGCGCTGGGCACGCGGGGGGGGGGCTCGGGGTGATCGGGTTGGGTTCCTACCATGGCGTTGGGGACAGGGGGAGGGAGGGGAGGTGGTGTGCGTCGCGAAGCGGGATAAAATGGTCGGGGCGGAGGGGGCACTGGGCGGGGCTTGGAGCAGAGGGCCACAGGGCGGGGGTCCAACTGGGGCGCTGGAGACGGGGGGGAAGTGGGGGAGGTGGTGTGCGTCGCGACGCGGAATAAAATTGTCGGGGCGGAGGGGGCACGGGGCGGAGCCCCCACTGGGCCGCTGGGGACGCGGGGAGGGAGGTGGGGGAGGTGGTGTGCGTCGCGACGCGGAATAAAGCGTTCGTGGCGGAGGGGGCAGTGGGCGGGGCTCCCGCTGGGGCGCTGGGGACGCGGGGAGGCTCGGGGCAGAGGGCCACGGCGCGGGGGTCCCACTCTGGCGCTGGGGACGCGGGGGAGGGTGGTGTGCGACGTGGAATAAAGCGTTCGTGGCGGAGGGGGCAGTGGGCGGGGCTCCCGCTGGGGCGCTGGGGACGCGGAGAGGCTCGGGGCAGAGAGCCACGGCGCGGGGGTCCCACTCTGGCACTGGGGACGCGGAGGGGGGGGTGCGACGCGGAATAAAATGGTTTGGGCTCTAGACACCCTGTGCGAGAGAATAAGAACGCGCGATAAGGATTCAAGGGCCTGGGAAGGACAGACCGACACTCTGCAAATAAGGCGTGACCAACGGAAGGGCCAGGGATGGGCCGAATGTAACCTTGGAAAATCGTTCATCCGAACTATGTGCGGTCGGCTTGATGGAAACCGGTCTCAGCCCCGATGTTGTCGAAATAGCGGCAAACCTTCCGACCCTGTCGGCGTGTGGAAGAGGTTGTTCCGTTTGACTCGTCTTCGTCGACGTCGTCGTCGTCGCCGTCGCCGCTCACTTTCTTTCCCCGGGTCAGTCGACTCCCTCCCCTTTTCCTGAGCCCCCCTCCTCAAGCGCGCCAACCAAAACGAAATTGAGCAATGTCGTAATTTAGTCGAAGGGAAGCCCCTCCCCTTTGATCCCTTCCGCGCCAAGCCCCTCCCCTTTGATCCCTTCCGCGCCAAAGGGGGGGGAGACCCAGGGGGGGTTCCCAGTCAGAATACTACACCCCTCTGGGGGGCGGGGGGGCCGGCCCCCCAAAAGTGAAAATACAAGCCAAGAGTGCCCCAAGAGGCCCCCAAGACGGTCCAAGAGGACTCCGAATCGCCGAACGATCGGTGCAAAACGTCTTTACGGCTTCCAGACGGAGAGGGCGGGAAGACGCCCCAAGAGGCCTCGACGAGCACTACCAAGAGAGCCCCAAGAGGCAACACTCATGGATTTCGTCCCAATCAGGGTGATGCCCGACGGTCGACACATGAGTGTAACAGCGTCGATGCTCATGGGGCCTCCCAGGAGGTGCCCCCGAGAAGGAATGGAGGGGTGGAGAGCGATGGGTGGCAGGGCTCGTCCAAAACAGTGTTTTCGTTGTCATGTTGTTGTTGGTGTTGTTGTTTTTGTTGTTATTGTTGTTCGTGTTGTTCTTGTTGTTGTTGTGTGTTGTTGTTGTTGTTCCTGTTGTTGTTGTTGGTGGTGGTGTTGTTGAATTCTCATTGCTGGAAATAATTATTGTTGATCCCCCTCACCGGTGCATGTTGTTCCCAACCATCCTGTGGTGTTGGGTCATCGTTTTGAAGAAACGGTGACCCGCGTCTCCTCTCCTCCTCTCCTCCTCCCCCTCCTCCTTGCGTTTCACCCACCCAGCACAGCGTTTCGTAGCCCCATAGGGAGCTCCACCGAAGGCCCCAATGGCAGGGTTCGCATGGCGGCCTCGGGCCATTTCGGTACACCCCTCACGAGGATCGTGGCCCCATAAGGAGCTCCACCGAAGGCGCCAGTGGCAGGGTTCGCGTGGCGGCCTCGGGCCATTTCGGCACACCCCTCACGAGGATCGTGACCCCATAGGGAGCTCCACCGAAGGCGCCAGTGGCAGGGTTCGCATGGCGGCCTCGGGCCACGTCGGCACACCCCTCACGAGGATCGCAAACCCATAAGGCGGTCCACCGAAGGCGCCAGCGGCAGGGTTCGCATGGCGGCCTCGGGCCATTTCGGCACACCCCTCACGAGGACCGGGGCCCCATAGGGAGCTCCACCGAAGGCGCCAGTGGCAGGGTTCGCATGGCGGCCTCGGGCCATTTCGGCACACCCCACACGAGGATCGTGGCCCCATAGGGAACTCCACCGACGGCCTTAGTGGCAGGTCTCGCATGGCGGCCTCGGGCCACGTCGGCGCACCCCTCACGAGGATCGTGGCCCCATAGGGAACTCCACCGACTGCCCCCAGTGGCAGGGTTCGCATGGCGGCCTCGGTCCATTTCGGCACACCCCTCACGAGGATCGTGGCCCCATAGGGAGCTCCACCGAAGGGCCCCAGTGGCAGGGTTCGCGTGGCGGCCTCGGGCCATTTCGGCACACCCCTCACGAGGACCGTGGCCCCATAGGGAGCTCCACTGAAGGCGCCAGTGACAGGGGTCGCATGGCGGCCTCGGTCCATTTCGGCACACCCCTCACGAGGATCGTGGCCCCGTAGGGGGCTCCGCCGAAGGCGCCAGTGGCAGGGTTCGCACGGCGGCCTCGGGCAACGTCGGCACACCCCTCACGAGGATCGTGGCCCCATAGGGAGCTCCACCGACTGCCCCCAGTGGCAGGGTTCGCATGGCGGCCTCGGGCCATTTCGGCACACCCCTCACGAGGACCGTGGCCCCACTGGAGCTCCACCGAAGGCGCCAGTGGCAGGGTTCGCATGGCGGCCCCGGGCCATTTCGGCACACCCCTCACGAGGATCGTGGCCCCATAGTTGTGCTGCTTCAACAACCGCGCCTGGGCGTCGTACTCCGCCTTGTCGACGTGCAACGCCACCTCCTCCCTCATGGCTCTCAAGGCCCTTTCCTGCTTCTGCTCCTCGGTGAGAGGGACGCCGTCCTTGTCGTCGTCGGCGCCCGCGAAGACGGCCACGAACGTGTCCCTGAGCATGTCGGGTTCCGGCGGGAAGCCGTGGCCACATAGGGAGCGCGGGCGAAGATGGTATTCACAACTGCGGCATTCACAACTGCATATGGTTGGGTCTTTCGCCAGGAATAACTGTTTCTTAATCAAAATGTGCCACTCGACGCTCGCACCCTGTTTTTTTGACAAGGAAAAGCTTCCTGCTCAAACTGGCCCCCTGGCCCCCGGGTTACAACAACGGCGGATCCCGCCTTAGATTTACTTACAATTCAGCCACGACCCCCGCTCCCGCCCGAGACTTCCTCGCATTTTATTCCGGAATCGCGCTTTCGCTTGGGACTTCTTTACAATTTATTCAGGAATTGCTCTCCCGGCGTTCTGGAGTCGCGCTCTCGCTGGAGGTCTGCTTGCAACTTACTGATTTCGAAGAGTGGCCTTGCGTTGGAATTCCCGGTAATTTGCCCAAGCGCCGCGCTCCCGACACCCAGGCGCCCAGGAGTCGCGCTCGCCATTTGTCCCCCTCACTGTCCTACGTGGCCCAGTTGCCACCCTCAGTGGCCCCCTAGTTGCCTTCCGTGGCCCCGCATTATATGCACTTCGTGGCCCCCGCTCGTTCGCGCTCTTCGTGGCCCCATACGCATTCCTTTCGTGTCCCCGCTGTCGCCCTTCGTGACCTACTTCGTGCCGTTCGTGGCCCTGCTGTCGTTCTCTCTCGCTCTCGCTTTCGCTCGTCGTCGCCGTCGTCGTCGTCGCGGTCGTCTTCGACGTCGTCGTCGTCGTCGTCGTCGTCGTCGTCGTGGTCGGTCCCCTGTCCGTCCCTCTTAGGGTCGGGTCGACGGTCCGCGGCCGCCCCGCCGATCAGCGCTGCCGCTGGCCAGGCCGACGGTCCGCGGCCGCCCCGCCGCTTGCGGGGGCCCGGCCTGCAGGGAAGAAAAGTATACCACCCAAAAGGGGTTCGATCGAAGACGAAGAGGGCGGGTATCGAGGGTTTGGGAAATACGCATATTATTGGACACTCGAGCATATAAGTGCGAACGGTCATAAAAGTATTGCTGTTGTTGTGATTGATGTTTGTGTTGTTGTTGTTGTTGTGATTGTTGTTGTTGTTGTTGTTGTTGTTGTGTTCCTTCGTTTTGTCTCAAACCCGCCTTTGCTGCAAAACGTCATCGAAACGAAAACGGCCTACGAAATCGCCCCAAACATCGTTTAGGTCGACGCCTGGGAGGTGGAACGAGGACCACGAGAAGGGGGGGCAGGAGGGCGGGGGGATGTTTTCGAATGTAAGACAAAGCCAGGTCGAAGATGCATTCGGGTAAAGATAAATCGAGACTCTCCGAGATGTGGCGGTTCTGCAAGATGTATCGGGCGTCGCGGCCTTCTCAGAGCTTTCCGCAACGCTCTGGAGCGGATTTATCCTTGTCCCAACGCCCCGTCTGGCAACGGGAACATCACAAGATGTCTCGCTTACTCCCGCCCGCTCTCACCACAGAAATAGCACCCAAGACTAATTACGCATCGGATAAGCAACCTCTGGGAACCAACGCACGCGCCATGTACGCGACGCCCGCGAGGCGCGCCGTGTGTTCGCGGTGCACCACGCGCACCAGGAAAATCAGGTGCCCTAATTCGTGAAACCGATAGGTACCGATACCGCTCGAACGGCGGCCACTCGAATGGGGTGAAACATGTTCATTAATACGGGGCAAAGGCAGGAGGGGAGGGAGTGTACTGGGGGAGAGGCTCAACGTACCTGCGCGCCGAAAGAAGGGACGACCACTGGTGAACGAGAATGGCGAGCAGAAGGGCGACGAGGTGATTAGAGGACGAGACGGACGAGGGGGACAAGGATATGCGACGAGGTGCACGGCGAAAGGTAGGAGAGCCCAAAATCGAATCGATAAGTCGGATCGGCGATCGAAATGCATCGGATCGACGCAAATTGGTAGCCAAGTCAGGAGAAGTCGAATCGGCGGACATCGGCAGGCTACTAAGGCCTCCGTTGAAAAAAACGACACCCAAATCGGAATCCCAAAGTGAATCGAATCGAATCGGAACTGGAAGCCGTCGAAATTGGACCATACCGACTCGGAGGAATCGAAACGAGCCTTGGCACGGGGAGAAGCATGAAGATGAAGCAGAAACAGAATAAGGATAACAATAATAGCAATGCTAAGAGACGAGAAAGAGAGCAATAGTAATAATAAGAGACGAGAACGATAACAAACAGAGAAGGAGAAGAGCGGACGAGAACGAGGACGGACGGGGACGGGAGAGGCCCGCACGGGCGGGGAGCGCGGTGCCGGCGCGCCACCAGCAGCTTCTCGGCCCGCTCCAGCCTCGCGAGCCTGCGCATGATCGCCTCCGGGGATGCAGCCCAGAGATCCGAGGAGATATTTTTTTTTTTAAGCAGCTGGTATACACTTCTCAATGTGTGCGTGCCATCCTTGCGCAGGGGCCATGCTAATATTCTCTGCATCGTTCCAATGTTAACGGACGATCCCCGAAGGGAGTCCACCAAAGATATGATCTTCTGACTCCATCGTTCTCTCCGGCATGTCGGCCTCCCGGGCCCGTTGTCGGGCCCGGGCCCGGGGGCCATGAACAACGGATCTGGGACGCAGTAACGCCCCTGGGGCAGGGGTCGGGACCTCTGGGGTCGATGATGGAAGAAATCGTATCGACGGATGTCTGGGAACGGCGAGACGCACCCTCAATCATCCCCCTTCTCCCCTAATTAACCTTCCAGGAGGGCTAAAAAATAGCACCAGGAGCTCGACATCTAAATCCCAATCGAGGTTCTAGGCAGTCAAGAGAGGTCTACAGGTCTGGAGGGTCTCTGTTAAGGACCCTGGAAGGTCAGGGTCCTCGATCCTCGAGGCATCCTGCCTCTTGCCACTGCTCGGCCTCCCGAGGCCTCCCAGAGACATCTGAGCAACGATCGAAACGGGGCCTTGAGCGAAATGACATAGTGGCCTTGCGCGGCGGCTTCCTTACGCGGGCCGCCCGCGCGGCACGCTGCGCTTGAAGTGTGGGCGCTGGCGCGCGACCTGACTGCGGGAATCTTGCCCGCGATTGTCGGCTCAGTCGGCCCCGCTTTCTTGCGCCGCCCATCTGGCGGCTCCAGGATTGAGACGGCCCCATCTGGCAGCTCCAGGATTGAGGCGCCCAGGCTGGCCTCTGGTCGGGCTCGGTGGCGGGCACCGTTCCCGACCAGGGGCCAGCCTGGGCGTCGAACCCCTGGCTCCTCGTTCCTGGCGCCTCGATACAGCCAGACGTAGAACAGAAGAGCATCCTCCAATGAGACCCTCCGCTGGCCAAAACACACCAAACCATCAGGTCACCGAGAGTACCCTCCGCCAAGATGCACAAATACATCCGATTATCCCAGTGCGACCCTACCTAGAAGTTGGAGCCTTAGGAAAGCAGCATTAGTAGCAACAGTAAAGCTGAGCTAAAGCTAAAGCTAAGCTAAAGCTAAGCTGAAGCTGAGCTGAAGCTAAGCTAAAGCTAAAGCTAACGCTAAGCTAAAGCTAAGCTAAAGCTACGATAAAGCTAAGCTGAAGCTAAGCTGAAGCTAAGCTAAAGCTCAGCTAAAGCTAAGCTAAAACTAAGCTAAAGCTGAGCTATATTTAAAGCTAAAGCTAAGCTAAAGCTGAGCTAAAGCTGAGCTCTAAAGCTAAAGCTAAAGCTAAGCTAAAGCTAAACTAAAGTTAAGCTAAAGCTAAGCTGAATATGAGCTGAAGCTAAGCTAAAGCTAAGTTAAAGTTAAGCTAAGGCTAAGCTAACGCTAAACTAACGTTAACGCCAAAGCTAAGCTAAAGCTAAGCTAAAGCTAAAGCTAAAGCTACAGCTCCCAAGGGACTGGGGGAACCGCGGGGCGGGGACCGGGGGAACCGCCGGGGGCGCTTTTCATTGCCCGGCCCTTTAAGCTAAGAGAGTAAGAACCCTTCTAGGCAGAGCCTAGGTAGGGAACAAACAATAAACAAATTAGGGTACCCTACCCGAACCGTCCTCGATCTTACACCTCAGGTCGACCGTATCCGAACACCGAATCCTGCACACCCGACTCAGAAAAAGAACTGCACAACGATACACTTTAGGAACTCCACGCGGATCTGGCCATCGCTCGGACGTCCATTCTCTGTGTTTTTGATCGGTTTCGTGCGTTGCTTTTCAGCCAAATGATCAAGGATGCTCCTCGATGGTCCTCGCCGAAGGAAACGTGCACGCATCCGAGCGCCGCCGAGAATGCCTTGCATCGGCGCTGGGCACCCCTCCCTGGCGCGCGGAGCGCGCCAGAGGTGGCGCTGGAGGCGCCGCCAGGAGTGGGGGGGGGGGCAGCGCAGGTCCAAGAAGTCCGCGCGAAGCTCCAACGATTCATGCATGCAGTGGAGGTCCGACCACAAGAGTTCTTCCACAAGAAACCCAGCCCCGAGACCCCAGGACGTCCATTGATTTTTGGTGCGGAAGCGTCACGCGTTCCACGGCAGAGCCACTGACAGCCAAGAAACCCAGGGCCCCCGCAAGGCAAGCAGGATGCTTCTTGGCATGGGCCCCCACTGTATGCCATGCTTGCCTTCTTCCACGATCTGGCCATCGCTCGGACGTCCATTCCCTGTGCTTTTTCGGTTTCGTGCGTGGTTTTTTCCGCCGATCAAGGATGCTCCTCGGGGGTCCTCGCCGAAGGAAAAATGCACACGTCCGAGCGATGCCAAGCGATCCGAAAAACATGCAGCCTCTTCTGCCCCCGGGGAGCGCAGGCGCCGAGGCGGCCGGTCCTCCCGGCTGTCCATGGAGACCTCCGCGCTGGCGTGCCGCAGGAGGAGGGTGGACAGCACCTGGGAGGCGCGGGCCAAAGCTGCCCATCGGGGATCCTCTGACCCGGGTCAATCCAGACCCGGGTCAGCAAGAAACCAAAAACTGCAATGCAGGAAAAACAAAAAACTGCAACGCAGATCTTCGCACACCCGGGTCAGCAAATACTTACGCGCGGCCGCCTCGCGGCCACGAGCGGCTCTCTAACCGAGGTCAGCCACAGGGGGTCTTCGCAGGATCCTGCAGGATCCGGCGTCCTGGCTGACCCCTGTTTGCACTGACCCCCGTCTCGAGGCTCCCGAGCCCAGGGCTCAACGATCGGACCGGGGCGGACGAGAAAAGGCGCGGGGGGAGGGGGGGCAGTTCTTGCTCAACTTGTTCCGCGGCGGTCTCGGGGACAACTCCCGACGGCCCCGAGGCCACGTGGCCCCACGCCCTGACACTTGAGAACAGTTGCACCGTCATCGGCACACCTGTGAACGCTGGTACCCACGGTCTGCACCAAGCATGGGGAAACCAAAAGGTACCGATACCGCTGCTCCCCGGACCTATCCCAGGGTGCGTTCCGAACAGCACTTCGCAGCGAATCGAACGGTGGCGACGAGGGTCACCCAGGAGGCCCGAAAAGTGGACAAACGAGCACAGGGTAGCGGTGTGGGTCAGAAGGCAACTACTGGGAGGATCAAGCCCAATTTGGGAGCTGTTACGGCGGAGAGGGCCTCGGATCAAGCGGGAGTGAGCCGGATCAAGCGGGATCCGGCGGGATTAAGCGGGATTGCGCCGGAGTTCGGACCAGGGCAAGATCGGAATCTGACCTCCCGGAAGTTGCACCCGAAGGGCAGCGGCGTGGGCCCCCGCTCCCTCGCCATCGCTCGGACGCCCATTCCTCGTGCATTGTTCGGTTTCGTGCGTGTGTTTTTTCGCCAGACGATCAAGGGTGCTCCGCGGTGGTCCTCGCAGAAGGAAACATGCACACGTCCGAGCGGTGCCCAGCGCCCCTCCTCCGAAAAGATAAACGACCCGGAGCCGCGAGAGCACCTGCCACACGCCACGCGCGAGGATCCCGCGCGCGGAGGAGAGCCTCTCGGCCTCCGGGGGAGCCGGCGTGAACCCCCCGCGCCGCCCGGGCGCCGAGGGCGCCCCCGCTCGCCGTCGCTCGGACGTCCATTTCCCGGTGCTTTTTTGTTCCGGACTCGCGCGTGTTTTGGTTGCTCGATGGTCCAGGATCGTCCTCGATGGTCCTCGCCGAGAAGAAAGGCACACGTCCGAGCGGTGCCGAGCGCTCCTCCTCCGAAAAGATAAAAAAGACCCGGAGCCGCGAGAGCACCTGCCACACGCCACGCGCGAGGAGCCCGCGCGCGGAGGAGAGCCTCTCGGCCTCCGGGGGAGCCGGCGTGAACCCCCGCGCCGCCCGGGCGCCGAGGGCGCCCCCGCTCGCCGTCGCTCGGACGTCCAGTTCCCGTGCACTCGTCGGACTCGCGCGCGTTTTTTTTGCTTGATGGTCCAGGATCGTCCTCGATGGTCCTCGCCGAGAAAAAAGGCACACGCCCGAGGCATGCCAGGCCGGTGCATCGCGGAGGGAGCGCTCGGCGGCGGGGCCGAAGCCAGCCGCCTGCAGCAGATTTCTCCGCCCGCTGCGGCGAGGAGGGACACGGCGAGGAGGGGAAAGAGGAGGGAGAGGGCGAGGAGGGGAGAGGAGGAGGCGGATGCCTGCGCCGCTCCGTGGGGGGAGGAGGAGGAGGAGGAGGAGGAGGAGGAGGAGGAGGAGGAGGAGGAGGAGGAGGAGGAGGAGGAGGAGGAGGAGGAGGAGGAGGGGAGCACAGAGGGAGGAGGAGGGCGAGCAGGGGCGGGACGGCTTCTCCCATCCCCCCCCCCATTGTCGTCCGACCCGACTCGAGCGCCTCCCCCCTGATTGGCCAAGAAAGGACCCCTCACCCTGTGGGAGGGGACCTCAGGCAGGAGGGTCAAAAAACAGCCCAGGGATAGGGGGGTCTTCTGCTGCAGGTGTATCGAACCAAACCGTCCCGATGTCTTATCCCGAATGCAGACACGGGGACCTCAGTGAGGCCGCGACTTCATCGTGCCATTAGGGTTAGCGGTTATGTTGTTTTCGATGACCTCCTGCGACTGCATTCGATGACTTGAGCATGAGCAAGTGCAACTCCGCTGGCCCGCCCTTGCGGGGGCCGCCAGGCTGCGAGACTTGGCCATCTTGGGCTGCCTTGGGTGCATCTTGGGCCGTCTTGGGGCCATCTTGGGCGCTCTCGAAACCCTCTTGGCCGTCTCGGAGGCCATCTCGGGGGCGTCCTAAGAGGGGAAAACAACCCACGCCCTGCCAATTCTCCCGAACCTTCGGCTGCTCTCCAGGTGGTCGGCCAGCTCCGCCCGGCGGGCTGGGCCGAAGCCCCGGGGGGAGGGGGGCACGCACGCGTGCACACTGCTCATCTGCTCTCTCCCTCCCTCCCTCCATCTCTCCCTCCTCTCCTCCTCTCCTCCTCCTCCTCCTCCTCCTCCTCGTCCTCCTCCTCGTCCTCCTCCCTCCCTCCGTCCCTCCCTATCTCCCTCCCTCCCTCCCTCCCTCCTTCCCTCCTCCCCTGGAATCCGACGTTGCGAAACAAATACAGCCAACAAAAATCGCGACCAGGGCCCGCGAACCTTCTGCGGCATCTCTCGAGCCGAGTCGATCTGCGCGGGTCCCAGAGCCCGAATACCGTGCGAAAGAACGCCCCGCGCCAAAAAACTGCAACGCCCAGATCTCGGGGTCAAACGTCCCTCGGCGCGTATGTTGGGATGATGTCACGAACCGAACAGCAGAGCTCACTCTCTTCAAGTTGCACGCCCGAGATGGGTATGTACAACACAGGCACGATACCCGACAACAAATGCTGCCCAAAACCGGCACCTGCCGCCGTTGGGCCGTCGGCCTTCTGCCTCAGATGGGCAGCAGCCCGCGGAGGCACCGACCGCGCGCCCTGTTCACCACGCGCAGGACATGCTGTCGGTCTTTGCCCCCATTCTTTCCGTACCCATCTCGGTCGTTCCGATCTTCCGGCGGTGGACACACCTCCCTTCAGTAACCCCCCCCCTGAATGACAACGACCTGGGGCCGAAGTCGACGGACCCGGACCAGCAAAAATGACGGCCGCGACGCCCTATCGCGAACCGAAAACGGCCGATTCCTGAATCGACGTGTCCGGGTAGGTCCGTCCACCTCCGAATCTTAAAGCGCTGACCGCCGGATGCCGAGCCCCCCGCGTCGGCGGGCACGGCCCCGTCGTACTTGGGAGCGCACCTCGCCTCCCAGAACTGCCTGCGCGCCAGCGGGGCGGAAGGAGGGGAGAGAGAGAGAGAGAGAAGGAGAAGGGGGCAGATGGTTGGCGACCTTCGAACCCGCCATCGACTCTCCTGAATCGATGGGAGGGGGGGGGCTCGGGTTGCGCCGCGTGCTCGACGGATTCCGCACTCTACCCCCGCGACCCATCGAGGTGCCTGAACCGTTGATCGGTGAGAGTAGGGTTCGGACTTCCTCGCCGCCGAGCAGAAGAGAGACACATGATGCTTGCGGATCCCCTTTCCGCTCCCCCCTTCGCTCCTCCTCCGCCTCCGCCGGCCCCAGCGTGCATTGCGGCCCACCTGATATGGCTGATCCGTCGCACGTCAGGAGCACAGGAACACGGGAGGAAGGTTCAGAGAAAGGAGAAGAACAGCTGTGAGGAGGAAGAAAAAGATAGCGAGAAGATGATGAGGACGGTAAGGAGGAGCGAGCGGAGAAGGTAGTCGACGAGGCAGAGACGAGGAAGGAGTAAGATGAGAGTAAGAACAACACCATGAGGCGTGGTGTAGCACAGAGGCGTGGCGATACTAGGCGGAGGAGTCAGAAAAGAGGCTAGCGAGAAGAGGGCAGAAGAAAAGGAGGATGGCGAGGACAATAACACCCCGGAGTAGGCCTAGGATGCGTCGACGATGCTACACCCTCCTGTCCCACGTCCCCTTCTCACAATTCCTGCAAGACTTCCTCTCCACTGTGGGAAGCGAACCCCTTGAATGACGAGCCCGCGACGGACCAGTTATTTGGGCGAGACCCACCTCGTGAAGCATTCGCCATCGTAGGTGGGCCTTGTTGGCGGCCCATCCTAACATGTACCGCCTCGGTTTAGTAGCTTTCAGCGGCCTTCAGTGCAGTATTCGCTGCCTTCAGTGGCCTTTAGCTGCCTTTCAGCGGCATGTAAGGGCCGTCAGCGGCCTTTAGTGGCCGTCAGCGGCCTTTAATAGCCTCTGCAAAAATGCGATGAAATGTATGACTTGTGTTGAAACGAACTTTCAAAAGGACTCATCGAAACCATCCTTCCGTCTAGGTGATCGAAGCGCAAGGAGGCACGGCTTGTTTCTGTTGTGACGACTTCCGCGCTGGTCTCTGACTAGCAATTTTAGGACCCATAACCGATCGGGAGCGGACCAAAGTTAAGAGGCCCCAAACATCAGGGATAAGGGGGTCTCCTCTGCAGCTGTAAACAAGCGGAGCACCCATTTCTAGTTCCCTTAATGCACAGGCGGGGACCAAGGTGAGCCTGCGTCTCCATAGTGTGAATTGGAGGGCAGAGCATCCACCCCATATGAATCACCCCGACAAGCGAAGCCGTTTGGCATAAACGACCCCAGGGAAGGAACCGAACAGGGTCGGGCCGTTCAAGAAACGCCCAGGGCCGCCTGGTACACACCAATTGTCAGGGTCTGGGTGGTTTCTCCTCCCTTGATTACCAAGGTTAGGGTTGTGGATGCCATGACAATGGACACTCTAACAGTCCGATCATCGAATTACACATGTGTTTAACATGTCGGACAAATGTTATAAAAATGTTTCAAACCTGTTTTTTACATGTTCAAAACAATTTAAACATATGTTCCAGACATCTAGAAATGATTTGGCACCATGCTTCCTCTCCATTCATCGTCCTCCACTTAGGGGTCCTTCTATTCTCGAGGGTTGCGCGATCGCAACTCCTGGACAACTGGGTCAAACGGTGTCGGCCGGCACGTCCAACCGCTGGTACGTCCGGCCATGGGCGCCGACGCTGAGGTCGCAGCAGCGCCGGCACACGGCACGAACTTATCATGCGATGGCCAACTGCACGGACGAATCTGCCCGCCATGCAGCAGGGGGCCGAGCACAAGAAACCTTCCACAAAAAAACAATCCTGTTAGGAAGCAACTACTGGGAGGTTTTCGTCGGGAAGATTAAAGAGGATTCAGCCCCATTTGGGAGCTATTACGCCGGAAGGGGCCTCGGATTAAGCGGGATTAAGTCGGATTAAGCGGGATTAAGCGAGATTCAGCAGGATTAAGCCGGACTTCGGACCAGTGCAAAATCAGAATTTGACCTCCCAGGAGTTGCATTCCACATTCTGTGACCCTGGGACGTCCATTGATGTCTGGCGTGGGAACGTCGCGCTCTGCATGGCAAAACCATCGAGGCCCAATAAACACAGGGCACCCCGGTGGCGAGCAAAAAGTTGCTTGGCATGGGTCTCCACCGCACGTGTGCACATGTTGCACGTGTTCAAACAGGTTCTGGCCAGAAAATTTGCGGAGGCCTCAAGAGCTCTGTTCTGAGCAGGGATCGTCCTCCACCCGTGTATGAGCTTCAAGTTCGTGACCCGTGGATAAACTCTCAAGCGCGAGCAAAAGAGCCAGCCGAGCGGCCGCCCCGACAGTGGGCCTGCTCGAGGGCAGCTGTAGCTGCGAGCACGCGCCGCTGCGATCCCCATTCCCTCCTTTCTTCCCCATCCTTCCTCATCAAATTCTTCCTCCTCCTCCTCCTCCTCCTCCTCCTCTACTCCTACTTGTCCGTCCTCTCCCTCCTGCCTCATCCCTCCTCCTCCTCCTCCTCCTCCTCCTCCCTCTTCCGACCCTCTCCATCATCACGTCGTGGTCCTCCTCCGTCGTCGCCCCTCCTTCTCCGTCCGTCGCCCGCCTCCTCCTCCTCGTCCCCCCCCCCCGTCCTCCCCTCTTTCTCCTGGCTCCCCCATCGCACCCCGCCCTTCTGATCCCGCCTCTCCCTCCCCCCCGCTCCTCCACGCTCCGTGTGCCCATGCCACTCCCCACTCCCCCCCCCCGTCCCCTTGCCGCCATCTCTACTGTTCGGTCGGGCATGTCCTCCTGCAGGCGGACCTTCGAGGAGAAATACGAAATCGTCAACACACTGTACAAACATAGTGAACACACAATAATCCAAAAATCTGTATCTGACTATTTTTCGACTTTTTGGGAAATTCCTCCTCCAGAAGAACATGCCCGACTTAAATCTACCGCGACGCCGCGGCGGCCGTGGCGTGGTCGCCGTAGTCGCCGCCTTCCGCCGCGACCGCCGCGGACACATTCGCCGCGGCCGCGGCCGTGGCCGCCGCCACCGTCGCTTCGCCGCCGCCGCCGCCGCCGCCCTCGACGCCTCCTGCCTGGTGGCCGTCGCGGTCCGCGCGCCCCGCTGACGCAGCTGCGGCTGAGCGCTCTTGCCGGCGCCGGCGCGACCGTGGTCGGGGGGGGGGCACAAGGTTACCGATACAGCTCTTCTCCGAACCTCTCCCCTGGCCAGGAATGCAAGGCGAATCCACCCGTGGCGATGGATACCTCCCAGGAAAGCCCGGGGAAGGCGAAAACGAGGGAGGGAATCGGCATCGGTACTTTTTCCTCCCCTGGCTGCCGCCGTCGAGAGCTCTGGCTGGCGCCTGCGCCGCAGTGGTCCCCCAGCGGTGTAGAATCGACACCCTTTCCCAAAAACCGGTTTTGCAACTCAGGTCGTTTGAGGCTGTTTCCTTTCTCGATTCCGGCAAGCTTGCCTGCGGGATCCAAAAATGAGATGTGACGTCACGCCACTGTGGACTCACATGAACCCCTGCTTGGGCCCAGCGCATCCTGAACAGGCGGAAAAAAGGGGTGAGATGTCGTGCAACAGAAGGCTGTCTGGATGAGAGAAGGAACGCCCTCCAATACGTAGATCTCTCCCCCACGACCAAGCTGCATCCCGGGTCGTTCTTTGATGGCCCTGCGGTCCAGCGAAAAGCTCCAGAGGCGGCAAACTGCAGCAAACCTCCGGCCATGATTCTTCGCAACGAGACGGTACAGGGCAGTCTCTAACGCAAGGGACTTCTTAAACTATAGAATGTTTGATACATGATTAATTTATGAACGAATTTATGTATGACATCATCGTTGTTTGTTTTAATCCCTGCATGTTTGCTACATGATCCGCTCGCGGAGCATGTCTAAAAAACGGCACTGTCGGGGCGTCCGCGGCGCTGCGGCGAAGCCTTCGCAGCGAAGCCGCCCGTGGCGACGGGGGCCTCCCGGGAGGCCCAACAGGGCGCGAACACGAGGGCAGCGGCAAGGGGCACCTGCTCTCCGCCAGCGGCGGCGGGCGCGGGCAGAGCCGCGCGGGCCCCGGTGGTCCCCGAAGGACGGGGCCCCGAGGGATGAAATCTTATTTGGACGCCCGAGTTATCCGGGGTAACTCGGGTCCGGGGTAACTCGGGTTTGGGTTCCCGAAAAACGAGCCCGAGTTAGCCCTGACCCGAGCTACCCCTGATGATTCGGGGCCCTGGACGCCCGAAATATCCGGGGTAACTCGGGTCCGGGATAACTCGGGTTCGGAATCCCGAAAAACGAACCCGAGTTAGCCCTGACCCGAGTTACCCCTGATGATTCGGGGCTCTGACTTATGTCGGGCGTGTCCCCCTACAGGGGGATTTTCGACGAACCATAAACTTATCCCGGCAAAGCAACCTAAGAGCGATGTGCAGGAGCATATCTGGAAGCATTCCCCTTACGATTCAGATGAGAATCCAGTTGTAGAATTCTGCCGTTCTCGCAGTCGTAGTCGCATTCGCGATGACAGTCGCAGTGGCAACGGCAGTCGCAGTCACAGCCTCAGCCTCAGCCTGCCTCAGCCTCAGCCTCAGCCTGCCTCAGCCTCAGCCTGCCTCAGCCTCAGCCTCAGCCTGCTTCAGCCTCAGCATCAGTCTGCCTTCAGCCTCGGCCTCAGCCTCAGCCTGCCTCAGCCTCAGCCTGCATCAGCCTCAGCCTCAGCCTCAGCCTGCCTCAGCCTCAGCCTCAGCCTCACTGCCTCAGCCTCAGCCTGCCTCAGCCTCAGCTCAGCCTCAGCCTGCCTTCAGCCTCAGCCTCAGCCTGCCTCAGCCTCAGCCTCAGCCTCAGCCTGCCTCAGCCTCAGCCTGCCTCAGCCTCAGCCTCAGCCTGCCTCAGCCTCAGCCTCAGCCTGCTTCAGCCTCAGCCTCAGTCTGCCTTCAGCCTCGGCCTCAGCCTCGGCCTCTGCCTCAGCCTCAGCCTGCCTCA